ATATATATATATATATATATATATATATATATATATATATATATATATTCTTGTCTGTGTTAAAATATTATTAATTAAATTATGGTCCAACCAATAAATCATTGAATATGTAACTTGATCGTTCCAGTTGTGAAAATTAGATTTTACCGTACTTTAATAAAAATTGTAACACAACATCATTTTGTTCTAATAAATTGTATAAATATTCATAAATCATTAACATATATTTCATAGGAGATAACCACGCCATATCGAGTACACTAGGAAAGTGACCAAACCGGACCGAGTCGGTCATCAAGCCGACCGGAGAAGGAAGATCCCCCCAAGTTGAAGAGGACGTCAAGGATGCGAGGGGTACTAGCAAGTCGAATTGAGGCCCCCCGGATGACCTAGTGGAAATTCGACCTGAAAGAGCATTTGGTCAAAGTTTTGACCAGATAGACGTAACAGCAGAGCTCGACAACGATAATACTCCACCTCGAGTTAATCGGGGTCTGATGTAAGGTTAGATTGCGTAAATGAAGAAGACTAAATGATAAGAAAGAATATTCCGGGGCTTAAACCGCCAAGTAGATATGCCCACGTGACCTAACAGAATGAACAGTTGGAGCAGTACACATGCCCATCTTAGGTAACAGGGTATCATTCCTCTATATAAGAGAGTGGGGTATACCCTGAATTACATTACACTCTTTACATACTCATATGTTGTACTTCATCTTTTACAAGTGCTAACATAAGTTTCGGAGACTATTTACAGGAAAACCTCTCACGTGCAAGAGTTCTGCAGGTCCAAAAGCGTTCAACCGGCGGTCGAGCTCGAAATCTAGCTGTTTCTAGTGTGAGTGATTGTTGGGAGGAATTTTGCTGAGGGTTGTTTGAGGCACAATGGTTCTGAGCAAAAACTGGCTTTTCTTGTTGTAACTGAGTAGATTGACAATTATTCCATTCTATAGGTTTTGTTCTTGTTTATGATGTATCTTTATTGAGGGTCAGTTTGAGCTTTTATTCGACCTTTCCGGAACCCCACCATCTATCTTGAGGAATGTTTCATATGTGCAGAAGTTTGGTTTCATATGTGCAGCAGTTCGAGGTCCTAAATACAGTTCATTGTTATTTGAACTGAGGGCTGTCTTTTTTACTCGTTTTCAAGTGCTGACGACATACGTGAAAAGCATGCAAATCTGTTTATGGAGCATTATATTAAACAGTCTGGTAACTGTGACTTATCAAAGGTAAGAATGTGCTCATAGAGTGAACAAATTTCAAAAGGTCTCGGTCGAGGAGTATATGGAGATTTATGAACAGAAGCATTTTCAAAAGGTCTCGGCGAGGTGTATCTGGAGATTTATGAACAGAGGCTTTTTGGCGTGAGATCAAAACATCCTAGGCGACATTTCGACGATAAGGTAGTTGTCAGGATTTTTTTCTATTTATTGTTATGTTATAGTAAACAATTTGGGACAATTTTGAATTTGATTGACTGATTCACTTTTCTCTGCCTACCTATCTGATGGTCAAAACCAACATTTTGCAATTATTCTGGAACGAACTTGCAAATTCTTTGTTTGATTGGGCTTTTTATTCTGGAATGGACTTGCAAATTCAGGTTCTCTTTAGTCTCCACACTCTCAATGTAATGTCATTTGTTACATAACATATTATTTAAATAAGTTGGCATCTCGTCGATATATATAGCCGTATACCTGTCATGGAGAATTTCGTAAGAGAGATGTTGGTTTAGCTTTGCTTAACCGGGAGTAGATGATGTTTGTGTGTATTGGGTGATTAGCTTTTGAGATCAGGTTTCTCTGTTTTTACTTGTACCTTTGTTATGGATTTCTAATAGCCATTTTTATTCTCTTTTCTACATTGCCTTTATTTATGGATAGAAGAACATGATGAGGTTGCAGCTAAAATATGGGATTGTGAGATTGTGGTGATAAGTGAGATATTACTTAAGAGATTGCTTCGATTAGCGCCATTGTGATCCACCACTAACGTCAAGTCGATCTGATCAATCGAACAATTGAAGGATGTCGCAGTTGTCAATCGCACAATGGAGAAGGAGTTCACATATAATGAGGATGAGAAGAAAGATTCATGTGAATCTCGGTTATTCCACTATACAAGGATGTCAAGTTAAACATGTCGCTCATGAACTTGGATCAGCTCGGCTCGGCTCGTTAAGGCTCAAGCTTAGCTCGATAAAGCTCGTTAAGGGTCGAAATGTTGAATTTTATGTATTTTTCTATACTCCAGCTCGTGGCTCGTTAAGGCTCGAGCTCGAGTTAGGCTCAGCTTGTTTACACCTCTAATTGTGTTTATGTGAACAACAAGGTGGTGAAAACAACACTAATGCTCTATTCCGGGTAAAGATCGGCCTGATTTTGATTTGCACATATATGGACAAATCATCCCATCACTTCTATTTTACGACTTTACAAGACAAAGAAGAATCGTTTATGATGCACGTATTAAATATAGATCTATTGAGGATTTTCGAATGGAGTCTCATGCTTCATTTTTTTTAGTCCAACACCAAAACTAAACATGAATGATTGGAAATGAATATAGTTTTATGAATTCTTCGAGACAATGTGTCTAGACATTAATCATGATAAAATGGATATAAATTAAATATATATACGTAACATTAATCATGATTATCCATTCTTTTTACAATCAAACTGGACTGGTCGAGACAATTCGATCGGATGGACCGCAAATTGGTATACTAATCGTTTCAGTTTGCTTGAATAAAATGTTTGCTAGTGTTGATTAACACTAGCTAGTCGGCCTGAAAAGGATTAGTATGATTTTTTAAGTAATTTTTATTTTAATATAATAAACATACATATTGAAATTTAAATGGATATTTGTAATTTATTATTCAATTAGTTTAAACTTTTACAAATTTAAAATTGTTTTGATATTTAATTAATATTTTTATATGAATTTATTACAAAAGTTACTACATTATATTTGTTAAATTAGTAATAAATTAAATTATGGTCCAACAACAAATCATTGAATATGTAACTTGATAATTGTGAAAAACTAGTATTTACCGTCCATTAATAATAGTTGTAATATAATATCTCTGTATTCGCATAAATAGTAATAAATTGTATAAATATTCATAAACCATTGAACATGTTGTAATAAAAACATTTTTAAAATGATTATTTGAAGCTTGGATTAATTTACATTTAAATCATGTTGAACTGTAGAATTTATCTTCCCATAAAATATAGGGAAATTTTTATATATCCTACATGATTATAAAAATATTATAAATATACAACCCATAAATAAATAATTACAAATCTACCTAATACATAATAAGTAACATTAATGCTTAAATTCGGTTACTATAATCTTCAACATCCATTCCCTTTTTTATGGAATTAAATAAGAGAGAGAAATGAAAAACATGCCTATAATAAATAACTAACTCATTTAATTCCGCGCAATTTGAATTCTTTAATTCACGCAGCTCTTGTGGTATATATTGAGTATATGTTAGTATATATTCAGTATATGTGCGCAGCTGGAATTCTTTAATTCACGCAGTTTTCAG